AACAACATGAAACCATACTTATGGTAAAGTTATGAATAAGCGTACACTAGACTTATGCATTCTAATCACGAATTATTTAAAGTATTTAATTAAAAAAAATCCTTTTTTGTTCTACCAACAATGTACATGTATAAATTCATTTTTGAATCGTCATGTACCCTAAGAAATATAAATAATATAAGGCGTTTTTTTTCTTAACGGAAGTAAAAAAAAAAATCAATCAGTTTAGATAGATTGAGCAACGTCTCTGTTACTGGAACAATGTACTTTTAACTGTGTTTGTAATATATATAACGATGGAAAATTTGCTTTTGGCAAAATGTTTCACCCATCATTAGAGACCAAAAAAAAAAAAAAAATGGAGAAGGAAATTGAAATGTCAAAATTTAATTTATAATTATTCCGAATAAAATTATTTTTATGTAATAATTAAAATACTTTTTGTCCAAACTCAAAAATTGACGTTTGTTGAAAATGTACAGTCTAAAAAAAAATTAATTTTTTTAATTCCTTTGATGCCTTGATTTGATGCGCAAATTCTTTTTTTTTTTTTTTTTTTTTTTTTTTTTTTTTACAAATTGTTAGGATGTTTTATAAAAATGCTTAAACATTTAGTCTAACAACTACTTCATTGTTATCGGCCACACATCATCCCTTCGAATGATTGATTGATTGAATTTAAATTTTAAAATTCTTAAATTTGGGTCAAAATTTTTCGGAATTTTACTGTGTTCGAGAAATCTTTTTATTGCAAGGTTATTTATCCATCTGTGTCCCTTTTCACAAAATAAATAAATAAATACATCTAACGATTAAAAAAAAAGTTCCCATTCCTCAACAGGTATCTAAGCTGAGCAGGACACGAAAAAGTTTTATATTTCTATCACATTTGATTACATTGTAAAAATATCTAAGCAAAAAAATATATTTATTTATTTATTGAACAAAAAAATTACAGAATTGTAAAAAAAAAATAATAAATAAATAAATAAATAAATAAAAAATAAAAAATCATAGTCATAAGATGTTTTGTAAAAAGGGGCACTGATTTATAAAACTTGAAATTTATATTTCATTATGTTCTTGAGGCAGAAGAATTTTTTTATAAAGGAAAAACAGCACCCCTCCGGATATTGAATCCATGAATACACTGCGTTAGCCTGTAGTCCGTAACACGCTATGCTTGCAATAGCAGTCATGAATTTTGAATATGAAACTTTAATTTACTTAAATAAAAAGTTTGTTACTTTTAGTTTTGGCAAAAACTATGGAAATACACTGTAAAAAATGTGCTTAGGAAATAAACACTTCTATTACGTGTTTAGATCTAAACGTGTTTGATATTGTGTTTAACAACAAAACACTTATGTCTAAATGTATTTAAAATCTATACGCGTTTAGATATTGAACATGTTTTTTGTTTTAAATTCGGTCAAGTGCAGAGTTATCTTCCCGGAAATGATACATATTTGAACGTTAATAAGCGCGGTTGTCGAAACAAAGAAAATCACAACAAAACGGTAAACGATGTTTTCAAGAAAGCTGATGAAAACTTGAGTGCCAACCACCGCAGAAATAGTGAAAAACATGTGAAAGGCTCATTGTTATTGCTGTAGGGTATGTATACTTTTGTTTTTTATATTAAATAAACATGATGAGCAAAGTAAATAACATTGCACTTTATACCAAGGATGTTTTTCGGTGTTATATCATGTATTCATTAATGAGAGTAAATATTGAATCTATAGTTGCAATAATATTTATTTAAACATTTTTATTATATGCTTAGTAATTAATGTAAAACTTCAGCATGTTCAGTGAGGAGCACATATACTTTTACTTAAATGCAACGTACGTCTTTTCTTACAGGTTAACTTAATTGGATAGCCGAGAGAAAGAACAAAATTCATTTCTGATAATGGATGTGAGTTATACTGCCGTAGAAAATACCTTCAAGATTATCCAGATACTCTGCTGCTTTGTTTACATCACGACGAATTTGAAATAGTAATCCGTATTGCATCACACTGCAAGAAGCACACCATAGCTGGAGTCTTTTACATGTATATTTACTTTGTATTGTGCTACTGGTACAAAATCCAGACAATTCAACAACTTGGATGTTACTAACTCTTTAGATGCCAGTTAGTTTTATATGTCAACACTTCTAAAAGACTTTGTAATAAACAATGGAAACCATTCACAAGTAAAAGGAATTCCACCAAACAATGATTCCGTTACTGCGTGAGAACACTTTACTGTGTGTTAGGCCTTTTTTTAATCATTTTAATATGATGTTTAGAAGTAAATAAAACTTAAAACGGACACACCTGTTATATGTTTGGTTTTCTTGCAGATCCTTGTTTAAAACATTGATATGTTTAGCTTCTAAACGCGAATCTAAGTGTTTAGAATTGTGTTTAACCTCTAAACATGTATGTATTTAGGTTTAAAACACTTTCCATTACGCGTATTGAAATTCAACATGTTTAAGATTTAAACGCATTAAAAAAAGTGTGACAAGAATGTGCTTAGAAATGTGTCTATCATCTAAACACATTTTTTACAGTGTACATTTACCATAGTTTAGTTGATTATATTAAACTATTATTTATTATAGTAAACTACAGTTCACTAACTTAAGCTTTAGTTTCATATAGTGTCAAAGTAAATATTTCGATTAACTTTATAGTGAATATCTGTGACGGTACATATTGTCCATTGTCGTTGGCGACAATATGTACCCATCCTCACTGCACATTTTGTCGTCCATTCACACATATTGTCGACGTTTGAAAAATTTTACATGAACATATTGTTGCTGGCCCTCACTGCACATATTGTCGCCCCACAGTGAGGGTTGCTTAAGGTATTTTCTGTCCCCCGCTTTCGCGAAAGCGTGGGGACATTAAATCTCATTCGTCTGTCATTCTGTCTGTCAGTCTATCCTCTCTCTGTCTGTCACAAAAACTTTAATCTTGGTCATAATTTTTTAATGAGAAAAATTAGTTCTTTCATATTTCACATGTACATTACATGTGACAAGACCTTTCCAAATATACTAAGATTTTTTTCTGACCCATGACCTTGAAGTTTCACCTACTTTTCAAAAATATTTACATTTTTTTTTACCTTGCTCCTAACTTTTGAATGAGAATAGATAAGGCTTTCATATTTCACGAGTACATTGCCAGTGACAACACCTTGCCAAATTTACTATGATTTTAGACCCTGTGGCCTTGACCTTGAAATTTGACCAACTTTTCAAAAATTTTGATATCGCTTATGACTTTTGGATAATAGAACAAAGGGTCTTCATATTTGACATGTGCACTACCTCTTACAAGACGTTTCCGAACATGCAACGACTTCTGACCATGAGCTTGAAGTTTGACCTAATTTTCAAAAATGCTAACATTGGTGATAACTTTTGAATGAGAGAAGACAGGGCCTTCATCATTGACAAGTGCATTTCCTGTGACAAGGCGTTTCTGAATGCATAATGACATTTGTCCCTGTGACTTTTACGTTGAAGTTTGACCTAATTTTCACAAATTTATGACTGTTGCCAACTTTTGAAGGAGAGAAGATAGGGCATTTATATTTGACATGTGCATTACCTCTTTCAAGACCTTTCCAAATTTACTCTGGTATTTTACCTCGAACTCGTGACCTTGACCTTGAAATTCAACCTACAGTCTTTTTCGATTTTTTATTTACATTGTTAATAACTTTTGAAGGAGAGAAGATAGGGCTTTCATATTTTACATGTACATTACCTATGACAACATCTTTCAGAAAGATATATCACTTCATTACCTTGGCCTAAATGTTTTTGTATATTGTATTATGATATTTGACCTCATGACCTTGGTCTTGAAGTTTGATGCAGTTTTGAGAAGCTTTAATCTGAATTTTTATTTATTAAACAATTTATAATTTTTTTTGAACGACGGACAGACAAGACAGGGCACAAAAACAAGACAGTTACAATATGCCATAAATAACTGCATCCCAGCCACTAAGACACCGAAATCGGAGGACCACAATTCTTTGAATTTACTTGTTTGTTGTTGCAGTTTTGTGAATGTTATTGGTGTGTAAATCACACAGACGTGTCTCTTAGCTTATTTCATATAGAGCGATTGTGACAGTACATATTTTCCTGTACATGATGTCGCCGGCGACAATGTGTACCTACCCTCACTGCATATTTTGTTGTCCATTGGTACATTTTGTCGCAGGCTGCATAATTATACATGTACATGTCACTGGCGACAGTACGTGTACCCTCACTGCACACATTGATATAAGACGGCGTCCATTTACAAACTACAAGACGGATCTGCATGGTCTTTCTGATATTATTTTCCACATTCATCATGATAAATGAGATGTTTAGTTTCTTAACATGAATATTATATATATCAAAGAGTTTTCGACAAAAATTCATAAACTATTAATCATATGCATATCATAAGAAGTTTCACTCTAATGAAATAAATGAAGTCAATGTTGACAAAAGGTAGTAACTAGCAGATAAAGACTGTTTTTGAAAACTTGAATTGAAGAAGTTCCAAGATGCTTAGGACAAAACCACAAGAATATTGTATTACTCTAATTGTTTAAGTGATTTACATTGCCTAACTAGTAAATCAAAGGTTACATTGTTATTTCATTCACTGCTTTGATGGTGACGAATGATTTAGTTAATTCATTGTTTTCGCCAAAATCGTATCTATTTATCAAATTCCTGCGAATCGTAAAAAAAATTGTTATTGATATGCAATATCGTTAAACTGATCAATTTCACTTGCCAAAATAAGAATCTTTTGAAGTAATTAAAGAGAAAACATTAGTTAGTCAACTACAAGATGTTTGAAAGGTTTTGGCTAAATATTGGCTCGATTGCATAATTCTGGGTATAACTGACCACGTATTAGCGACACTATATCGTGTCATGGCTTGTTGGCTAATTAGATGGTGGAATAAAAAGCCTAGTAAGGCACAGACTTTATAATAGAAAGCTGATCAAGTTATTGGTTATAAATCTCGCCAACGCGATAAAATTACAGTATAAATACCACAACGTTTTCAAAACACCGTATCACATCACCGTCACAAAAGGGGTGGAGGGCTGAAAGTGATGACTCTTAGAGGATGAAATCATGGAGAAGCTTTATCCAAATATTTTGGACATATTAACAGTTTAGGGACTATATATCATATGCGAGAAATATAATATCAATTTTTCAAAGAAGTACGAAATTGGAATAGTAATAAAATATAAAAGGTAAGAAAGTCTTCTTTAAAAAAATTAATTTGCATAAAACAGAATGTATGCAGTATCATATCCATCTCCAATAAGGACTGTTACAGTTATCAAGATTAAGAAAGATAAGATCTGAAATGTCTTCATCTTGTACAAAGTGGATCAAAGATCGACTGTGCTTTAGAATTAACTCGTCATATTGAGGAAGGTAATCAGAGAAATGGGACAAGATTACCCTCGGGAAATCGTACAATTCAGAACACTCCGCTGTACCTGTGCTATTTCAGGTATTGGAAGACAACATATTAATAACTGCACTTTAATTTTATATTGTTAATACCATCAAAATGGGAAACAGTTTTTAGTCGGATGAGGTGAAAAATTAAATTATTGCCAAACATATGATAACGTTCATTTTACTATTGGAATGATATCAGATACATTTGTACATATGATTAGAAAATTTAGTTTAACATCTGTGTCCCCATTTTGCGAAAGAGGCGAAAGTTTCAGTTCCACATTTTATATAAAAAAAAAATGTATCATGCGGTTAACTTTATATTTAATTCTTGTATAGGATAAGAAAGGCATGTTTTTCAAGAACATCATTCGGTGATTTTTATTGCTCTCTAAATTGTTTTCTCTTTGGATTTAAAAACTTATAGTTTTCTTAATGGATTATGGATGTATTTCTTGTTGGAAAAAAATATGGTCCTTCATTTTATATAATTTGACTTTGTGGTTTTTTTTTTAAATTGGTTGAAAAAATTAAAAAGAAATCGATAAGATTCTCAGCAATTTCCACACGTATATCGGAACACCAGAATTAAAAGAGCATCTTGATCAAGAAAAATTTCCTGATTATTTTCAATCAAACATTGCAATTAAGCACAAATGACACTCTTCCGACAAATAACTGAAATTTTGTTTGAGCGACAACGCTATGGTGACGCTCTAACCTTCAAATTCTGCTGATATTTCTAAGGCATTACTTTGATTCCATATACGAAGAGTTTTCGGCGTCGCTCAAATTCATTTTCCCTATTTCTAATGACTTTCGGAGTTTTCAGTGTTGTCATTAAATAAATCGTCCTGATTTTTACTGGGAAGGGGAAACATTAGTGTGGCAAGTATTTTTTTTTCTATGCAGCTAATAAACCTCGTCACTTTAATTTTCAATTGAATCGTAAGGTGTGGTCCTGTTTCGAAAGCATAGGAGGGATATAGTTCAAAATCGATATAAAACTTTTAAAAGAAAAAAAATCATCTTAGCTTAATTCGCAAATGGCTTGTGAAGAATCCGACATCCAACGTGTGCTTTAATAGTAAAATACCCCGAAAAGAAATATTTACTGCAGTTAAGTTCCTCTACTTGCAATGGTATAACATTATGTCATAAATCCATGCTGTCCTAATATGATGTGCATAAAAACATAGTGAATTTGGACCATAAAACTGTCCGAGCATCTAACCACTGTCGATATTAAGTCATCACAAATAATATACTAATATGAACAGCGTTGCACGTGTTTAATTTTTTTCATGACACTTTTGAATTAACATTATGGCAAAGTGATAAAGATACAATTTAATTTGATTTCAACAACATAATTGAAAGATTATTAAAAAGAAATGAGAGAAAAAAATTAGCAAAGAAAAAAAACTAAGTGTTGCAGACATAAAGGCTAATTCTCAAATTTTAAGAAGTAATGTATAATGCTCGACATTCGCACAGATTTCTGCATATTGTTGGTGTGTTACCCTTGCAATCTCCAGTTTAACTTATTTATATATAACTTGTAAGATTGAGTACACAGCAACATTGACAAAGTGTTAAAATTTATATCTTTATATATTTTTCAGCTTCCGAGATTACCAATCACCCACAACAAAATCACCAATGTTGAAATTATGCATGTTATCACGTCAATATGGGTAAGATCTCTCTCTCTCTCTCTCTCTCTCTCTCTCCATTTTTTAAAACGTTCATGGTAGATTATTTTAGTTTAGAAAAGTTTTCTTCATGGATTTGTTTGATTTTAATAAATTTCTAGATCACAATATGGACAATCAGCATTATGATAAAAGCACAAACTGAAGAAGAACCAAATCCAATACAGACCCAGGCAAATTTACTGAGAGCAATCCTTTGGGAAGAAAGGTGATTTTTTTCCCTCTGACAGTTCACATTTAAAGTTCCAATACAACTACACAGTTCTGTTAACATGTATATGTATCAAAATTTGTCTCCGATATCTGATTAAAAAAATCCATATGGAAGAAAAAGTGCTATTTTCCTATAATAATAAATTATCTGTCGTGAATATGGAATGACATAGAGATAATAGCTATAAAATCAAAATTGACACATGTGGTCCAATGCTCGTACATGTAATTATAAGTGTATGAAACCCAGCCCATTTCTGGACTCTCTCAACATACCTTAATAAACCGTCTAAAAGTAAAGTAGCTCATGTTTTGCTAAAAATTAATCCACATGAATGTAAAGAAAAGTATTTATTGTACTGTACAGCTTATAAAAATTTACTGATTTTTGAAATATCGAACTTTCAAAAAAAAAGAAGTTTTTCAACTGACGTGATTAAAATTTCCTCTGGGTTGGATAAGACTAGTCTACATTCAACAGCAGTTTTAGTTTTGAATATAGATGTTAACATAGTCATGTTAGTGAGAATCTTTGCATTGTAAACTAAGTAATAAGATCTAAAAGCCGATATAGACCATATAAAGCACGTGCAATAGGATTACATCATGCTTTGTCATTCCTCATGATAAATTTAAGAGCAGGCTTTTTGATATCATAGACAACTGTTTTCTCAATAAAAAAAACTCGTAAATGTTCTTACCTTGTAATTAGTCATCTGGAAAATTATTCAAGTTTGTTAAAAATCATTTCAATTCTACAAAGGCATTCTTAAGTTGATATTAAAAAGTGCTAGAGTTCCTTAATGACAATATCTATGTAGTATTTGGAGACCAGGACTTCCAAGAAACTGGAATTTCGATGTCACCAGTTGTGTTCCTTTATTAGCCGACTATTATTTTATACTTATGAAGCAGAAACTACTCAAAAAACTTTCACATGAGAATGGGAAAAAACTCTGCTGCGCCTTTCAGTTCAACATTCGATACATCGACAATGTCTTATCTGTTAACAATAGGTATTTTCATTCATACATGAACTCGATATATCCAAGTGAATTTGAAATAAAGGACACCGTAAAGTCTGCAGTATCTGCTGCATAATTGGATATTTTACTCCCTTTGCCAACTAACAACCAAACTATAAGACAAACGGGATGATCTCAGCTTTTCCATCGTCAACTTCAGTAGTATTCTACAATCATGTGTTTATGTCTCCAAACTGATTCGATACTCAAGAGCATGTTCTGAGGTCTGCTAATTTTTTAACAGAGGCAGACTACTGACAAATAAGTTGAGGTTACAGGCTTTTCAACTATCTCGTTTAAAATCATTTTCGTAAATTCCATGATCGTCATAATGACCTTGTGTGCAAAATACAACCTATTATTGGGTCGTATTTTAACTGACATGTTTCCCACCAATTGTTAGGCCATTGTTTTTAAACCATTTTGACTAAAGAATACTCCGTTTACCTTATCAATACAGAGTACCCACGGCGGGAGTGACCGGTCGACAGGGGATTTTCACTCTTCCTAGGTATCTGATTTCACCTCTGGTGTTTTCAGTGTTCCGATTTTAGCTCTATGTGTTTTTCGCTGGACTTATAAAATGGGTCACTGTTCATTATCTTCACCTTTTACTTTTTCCCTTCCTGTCGTTCAAAAATTCAAAATAAAGCTATTGCATTAAACTATAGTAAGAATTAAAACATTTAGAACAGGTTTAAATCGAATCAAATCCCTTATACTCAAAAGGAGATAAGAATATGTATGCTAGTATGCCTGCTTACCTGTGTCCGAAAAGAGCTTTACATACACTTTGGTTTACTAAATATATGTATTAGTATCTATAAAATCAGTTAAAGCAATCCGGTGCTATTCTTTCAAATTAAGTTGATAACTAGAAACAAAATATTGAAAACAATCACTTGACGATTAATTTTTAGCAACATCTTTTCTTTCTGTCTGTCTTTTTTCTCTCCTTGCTTTGTTATTGTTCTTGCACTATTATTTTAATTAGTTAGACATCTTTATAAGAAGAATATCTTATGATTTCATTTGATAATTCTTTGAATATATAATATAAATCATTTTCTGATTAAAAATTTAAAATGACCAGAATTGAGCATACTGAAGATGAGACAGTTTTATCCATGCTTTCGTGAGTTCCATTCTCCAATTTTTTCATCGTCACGTCATGTTTTATCTACTGTCTTAAGTTTAGAATTGGCAGATGAAAGGAATGTCAGAATGTTTTATTAATGTAAAGGAAATTAGGAATTTGGAAAGCAATGCTAGAATGCTGCTTTATTAATATAACTTCACTCCTCGGTAGGGTATTTCAATTCTGTGGATTATCAATAGTGAACTTTTATGAATCTAATGAAGCCAAAAATTTCCCATATAATATTGATATAAGCTAATAGCAACTGCGTCAATTGAATCCTCTATATCTACCAAACATGGTCAGCTGATCATGTAATTCAGTGATATAATTGCTCAGTATCAACTCGATCATACACAGTGTCCTTTGTATATTTATCCAATTAGCGTAATTACACCGGATATTCAAACCAGCTTTCCGCATATCCATTGTATCTTTAGTTTTGTGAGTATGGTATGAAGTGACCGATCCATTATGACTTTGTCTCCCTCTTGCTTTACGTGGGCACAAAAAATATTATCATTGTGTCCTTAATTTATTTTTTTTTTGTCGAATATCATTTTCGGTTATGTAAATGGTGACGCAAATTATAGAATGCAACCATCCAGGATAAAGCAAAAAAAAGTTGTGAACATACCATGGACAAATTCTTCCCTTCAGAATTTAATCTTTCTGCACAATCAAACTTTGGTCTATAGTAAATGCCAAAGCTTCCAAAATTTTTATTACACAGTCTGCATATTCATGAAATTCATGTTACTGCAAATGTTTTAAAATGCAAAGGGAAAGATGTTTCAGTAAGTAGATCCATAATTTCGTATTAATTTTGAATTTCGAGATATGTAGACCATACAACAACAGTTTTGAAGGTTTCTTATCAACAGTCATTATAGACCAATGATGTAAAAAATATTTATCGTTTCCACGGAATTTTGATAAATATAATTCTTTTTTTCTATGAAATTTTGCCCTCGATACTTTCACAGAACTATGTTTAATCTAACTTGGTATCAATGTACACTACCAAAATACTGTGCAGTGTGCTCTCTTAATAGGGGATTTGAACAATGCATTAGGGACTTTTTTTCAACAATTTCTTAAACGTTATCGCTTTCGCACCAAAAATGTCCAAATTCCTGAAATAATAGTACAGTACATTAACAGTATATTGAGGACGTCCTAAAATGGGATGGGTTTTCATAAGCCTTTCAGTATCACAAAGCTAAGCATATGCTTGTTTTATATATGCATGAACATGTGATATGCACGTATTTACGCACAAAAATATATATATATTACGGTGCATTGGTGAGTTAAGCATAACATATGACAGCATAATAGATTTCATCGTATTTTTTTTCTTTAGGGAATTTGAAGAAATCGGAAAGCGAGCTTATCATACACTCCCTCAACATAGTGGATTAGCAGACTGCTGCCCGACAGTGTCACAAAAAATAAGTCCCATTGGTGGCCTCTCTAGGGAAGGGAGACTACTTAAGTTATACAGAGACCCTCGCACAGTTCAAAGATTTTACGAGACTTCTTGCGCCGCCGGGGTCTTAAACCGACCCTGTCAGTACGTGGACAGCATGCGGCGCTCTAAATGTGTTCAAAGCTACACCTATGTCTATGCTATTGTAAGGGATTATAACACTACACAACCATACCGAATGGACTATATGAGATTAAAGTCGGGGTGCACCTGCAAAGTATATGACCAGCGTACAATTGAAGATTTAACGGATTGACCTTACGGACTTTTGATATAGATATCTCTCATTTTTACAAGAGTCTACTTCATGTGAAAATGAATCACTTTAAGACTTCCTGTTTTTGCCTTTTAAAGCTTCCAAATTAAAAAAAAAAAAGAACTTTCCAGCTTAGCTTTTTCATTGGAGTTTCGTAGGCAATAATTGATTACTGTATTATCGTAAGAAAGTATTGAAAGATGTGCCTAAGAAATTGATCTAGCCAATTTTTTTGTAATTAACATTGGCCGTAGTGTTTGATTTCAATATCACTTTGTTATGTTCACTTATTTTATAAGCAGTTTTGAAAATGCCTTATAGATGAATGCTTTAGAATTTTACTACATATGAACGTGCTTCATTGCTATTGTAATTGCCAATACTTATTATTTCCCGAATTCAGACAACCGAATTGTATTGTTACTTACTTCTTGTTAAAACAAACTGTATTTGATTATGTTTTCTCTAACTGCCCAGAGTGTTTTGTTGTTATTATTCGGGACTCTTGGATATTAATGACTTCACGATCTCAGTCTAGATTAGGGTTAAGTCATTTGCATGAGTTTACTTCGTGATGCAAAATTCCATTTCGTCATCAAACTGTCGACGATTGTTCTTCATCAGTCTTCTCCAAAGACTACCCATTCCTTCTACTTTTCTTGGATATTATGCGAGAATATAAGTAAACATAACCAATTGCATTACTCCAGCTTTATCATAAGTTCTGATAAAATGAATATGATATCTTGTATGTTACGTTTAAGCATTAAAAACCTTTTAACAATAAACTGATTTATGCTGACACCCTTCAAACAAATAGATTAAGCTTGTTGAACGACACACAAGGTTACAAAAGTATACCACCCTCTCCTTCGGAAAGGGGTATAAAATGCAAAAAGGCCTTAGCTGGTTTGCTAATACAATCTGTCGTTTAGGTCAAATTTGACTTATGTCTCTCATACAAATTATAAGGCCATTATTTTCACACGGATTAACTGCGGATTTCTCCTTTTACCCGACCATGACAAGCAGCTCACGGCAAGTGTGATCCCCTCCCCCCTCTAATGTTTTTAAGAATTTGCTCTGTTCACAAGTTTGTATTGTTTTACTGAATTTTTCAGCCTGATTCCTGTTCGTTATCTTCATTTCATGAAACCTATAGATTGTAGTTACTATGTGTCTAATCGTGGTCCTCATGAATAACACCTATTACTTGCAAAATCCAAGTTCCCATTTTTACGTGGGTTGACCCAAAAGTGATGTCATAACTGTTATAAAATCTTTAATAATCGAAAAACTTCATCAAAACTTTATATATTAATACCTCGATCTATTTTGAATTTGTTCTAAAACTTCATTCAGATATATGCAATACTTTATAAAATATTAGAATAAAAACAATGTTGGGTCTCGTCTATCGCCGCACAGCTAGAATGTGCAAATGCCGCTATGACGTTTCTCTTCGACACTCATTTTGAATCTGATGATACATATAATTTACACAAAAGAAAGTGAATTTAGAAATAACATTTGGACGAAGTTCATATAATTTTAATATTACAACTCAAAACAAGACGGTTTATAGGAAATTGGTAGTAAGGGTTATTAGAACTGAAAATGAGTGCCGAAAAGTAACGACGGTGGTAACATTCTTGCTGCGGCGATAAACAAAGCCTTACGTTGTGTTTATCTTAATATTTTAAATTTAGTGTTTTATATAATCAAATGGAATGTTAAAGGAAAAATTAATAAAAGACAGGGGATTTAATATTTCAAATTTTGTTGATAACATTTGATAATTAAAGATTTTATAGCAGTTGTTACATTACTTTTGGACTAACCCTCGTGATTTAATTTGCATTATTTTTAATACATAAGAGAAAAATTTAATAAGTCATAGAACTTCTTTCTGATTGTTTGAGTGCATTCAGTAAGATATCTCTAAAGGGCAAAACAACTGCTATGGCATGTTTACATATTTATCATTACCTGCATACATTTAAAAAAAAAATTAGATATAAATTCAGATTCATAGGTAGAAAGTAAACAATATAATAAGGATTTTCTTCATTAAAGTTAGGGATTACAAAGTAATAGCATAGAAAAATTCTCAAGAGACGGATAAAGAGAGATGAACTATATTTTAAAAACTTGGGAATTAAATCCAATATATGTTGGCAAGAGACACAATATTTAAATCAATTGAAGATTCTTTGTTGCCTGCATATTTCAATGCCATGATGGTAAAGTAATTATGTAGATGCTTTGAAATGACCCGCCCTCCAGATCTTGAATAAAGATGTGTAAAGAAATTCAGAATTATGCAGTGGCAAAGCTTCTTCATTTTTGGATAGTCATTATGTAAATCTTAATTGTTCCATCTGAATGCCTAATCATGACGATATATTCGTAAATCGAAATTTTTTCAAAGCATCTTAACTGATAGATACAAATTTTTGATATATATAAATTATCTCAAAAAGTCTTATTCAACATATATTTTTAATCGCGCACGCGCGCGTGTGTATGCTTTATAGTTCCTTGGCTTATTTTTATCAAAACGATGACTTAATTTTAAATTGTTTGTTTAAACAGGACTTCAGCATCGATAGGATAAAACGAAAGTTTTATTAAGGCTCTTGTATTAATATAGTATTTATTTATTTATTTTTTAAAATTTATTCATTTATTTATTTTATTTATTTACATTTTTCTTTAATGTTCTTATTTGTTGATAAAAGGAGAGAAACTGTGAAATTTTTTATACACCAAAGAAAATAAAATTATAAACAATTATGTCCATTTAGATTTAACATTTCAATACAATATTACTGTGACGCATGGTTATTATGTATATACAAGTAGTGTTTGTCTTTTTTATAATATGTAACGTCTTCCTGTTCAGCTAATACTCATTGTTGAAAGAGAACAATGTGAATGTGAAAGTATTGCATTTGCATAAAGCATGGCAAAATGTTACCATTGAATAGAACCTTTCAACAGTATATGACGAAAGTTCATTGAATAGGCAAGTGTTAAATGTGCCAAATTACAGCCGATCTTTTGTGTGAAACCATTAATTACATCCAACATTATCACTCATTATCCTGCCGGAAAGTACAAATGTTCGCAATCTCTTCAAAACTACCATACAGACACATGTCACAAATAGAAATTAATACCTATATCTTACTTTAGAGCATTAGTATGTACAATGTAAGATTAGCTTACATTTCTTATTTTATATATATATATATATATATATATATATATATATATATATATATATATATATATATATATATATATATATATATATATATATATATATATATATATATATATATAAAAGTATACAGGTTAAAACTTGCCAGTGTGAATGAAAAATCTCGACAAATAAGAAAAAAGATTCATGTCTGTTTCATACATGCCTTTATACACATGCATGAGATATGCCTTTTACACTTAAAAAATATATATATAATCTTGACCAGTATTCCAAACACAGCGGACAATCTATGTTCATTAGTAAGACATTCATGTACATGTATACGAAAGTTCGTTTTTATACTTATGAGTACGTATATAGTAATATATAGAAAAGACAAATAAAATTATGATGTAGAATTGTTAGAATACATTGATATGCAGTATACTTATTATCTGAAATACCAAGTCAGAGGAAATGTTTTGAAAGCCACGAACAAATAATAGATTGCAAGTAGATATATAACTATTTATTCTGAATAACTTTAACATAAAATTATTGCAGTGTTGATATTGTTTACCATTTGCAAACTACATAAGGACTAGATTATATTTTAGACCCGCCAAATTATTTACTAAGCTGATATAATTTCATTGGCTAAAAGAGTAACATTTTCATTTCTACATTTACTTCTTGGATGTAGAACAAAAAAATGCCTAATATAAGGAATTTATGTTTCAAACTTAAGTTAAAAATAAGTGAGTCGGAGATGCAGATGGATAAAGAAAAGAAGGATTCACCTTTACCTTACATTTTGTCTTTAAAATCAATAGGGTCTTTCTTTAGTTTGAGAGATTCATCATTACCTTCAGTTTATTACAAAATCAAGCGAACTAAAGGTATCATTTTATTTTTTAAAAAATCGTTTTCTTCATCGTAAGCCACACCTTAAAAGCATTCTCGTAAGTATTATCTGTGTCGATTTGTGTTTTATATTTGTTTGAAGCATATCATTATCTACGAAAAAATATCAGGCATAGGACTAATAAGTGAATTTTTTTCCATACATAATGGTATTAGGCTTATTTAGGACACAAACCATTATGGTCGCTTATTCTGCCATCTACCAGTAAACACCCTATATTCAAACAAATAAAAAAAAGATTTATCATCACTAAGGTTTGAGAAAATAAAATACATGTGTATAATACAATTAATTTTCAACCATCAGATTTACCAGTAGTTCATACTTTATAAGAATAGAAACCAAAGTAAGAGTGAAACAACCGTATTGGAATCATATGCTGAGATAATATTTCAATACATCTTCTCAAATTGCAAATACATTTGTACATTGCAAAACAACACTTATGCGTATAAATGTATTAAATGACTAAACGGAAGGTTAAAATGGGTCTTTGTTGTTTAATTGTATGCCCCCTTGTAGTAGCAAATTGACAAATGTTGATATGCATTTCCAAATGTAAAGGGATGATTTTTTAAATATCCATAATTCCACTCTCTGATATGAAATAATTGCATACCTGCTTACCTGCTTTTATATACATTTGAAAATGTTTTCCTTTACATAACATTACTCACGATTTTACATGAATTTTACATCTAATTTTGGACAACATGATGTCATGATTTCACCACACTGTACTATATAAATTGTATATCAGCTTTTTGTAAAATACGTATAAATAATCGTTAAAAAATCATTTTAAACATCTATTGGGATACACAAAGTTCTGAAGTGATAAAAAAATGCAATAAGTTCACAAATTTTAAATGTTATATATATATATATATATATATATATATATATATATATATATATATATATATATATATATATATATTCACAAACAATTAAGATACATGTGCATTTATTAAGAAATGTTTTAAGAGTCGTTCCCATTATATGTTTTCATGCAGGCCAAACTAAGACCAGTGAGTTCCAGTGGAAGGCATTTATCCAGCTCGGTCCAAGTATGAGAATCTGAGTCAAAACATTCTATCGATCTCAGTCTCTCCATTTTGTCCCAGTTATAACCTCCTGCAATATAAATTTTGAGTCCCAGAACAGCACAACCAAATTCTGCTCTTGGTGTGCGCATGTGAGATATAACTGTCCAGCAATCACTAGAAGGAGTGTACCTTTCGATGGCATCCATGCAACTGATGACGCCATCTTGGTTTACTGTTGCTCCACCAATTAATAATAATGACCCAGTTACGGGAACAAGATGAGCAAAGAATCGAGGGGTTGATATTGGCTGTTTAATATCCCATTTGCCATCATATGGATTGTAACTTTCTACACGACTCGAAATCATCTTATTTCCTGAAAAATATTTATTTTCTATAAGGAAAGGATCTAAATTCCTTTTCGTGAATCACATCACAAGATTGATACGAAAATTGACTTCCTAAAAATAATAATATCAAAACGTACGACTTTTCTACACTTTATGCAACCATTCCTCAAGATAAATAAAAAAAGCTTTTGATATCAAAGACAACTGCTTCTTTAATAAAAATGGAACTCGGAAATGATGCTGGAAGTTCTCATTGACATCATTTAAGTAGTTTTCGCAGACTGGGTCCTCCAACAAACTGTTGGAATACCGGAGGCACTAATTATGCTCCCTTATTAGCCTACCTGTTTTTATATTCCTATGAAGCAGAATTTTTTCAAAAACTTCTACATGAGAAGAAGATAACATATACCGTGGCTTTCAACTCGACTTTCTGCAATATCAACGACACGTTTTATCATTTAACAATAGTTACTTCCATTAATATCTCTACGACTCAATATATCTCAGTGAACTGGAAATAAAAGACACCAGAAAGTCTGTCACATCTGCGTTTTACTGACTCTAGACGATAAGGACCAACTAACAACTAAATTTTATGACAAACGAGATGACTTCAGCTTTTCCATCGACAACTTTCCTTATTTATGTAGTAATGTTACAATATCATTTTTGCATATGGCGTTTACGTCTCCAAACTTATTTGATTTCAAGAGCATGCTCCGAGTACGATCAATTTTGAAACCGAAGCCGGCAACTGACAAATAAGTTGATATCATAGGGATTTCAACAACCCCATCTACCTAATCAATATATAGATAGGGCTCACTACGGATGTGACCGGTCAACAGGGGATGCTTACTCCTCTTAGGCACCTGATCCCGCCTCTGGAATTTCCATGGGTCCGTGTTTTATGCCCTGTTCACAAATTATTGCTTGTAGATTTTTTTAAGATCGATCACTGTTCGTTATATTCACCTTCTTCATCAAAGTCAGCAATTCGTAAATTCTATGGTCGTTATAATGACCTTGTTATCAAATATAACCTATATCGTTGGGTCGTATTTTGGCTGTTTCATATCAAATGCTAGGCCTTTGAATTTATACTAAATTTGACTACGGATTGTTCCGTCTACTTGATCAATACATAGGTCTCACGGCGGGTGTGACCGGTCAACAGGGGATGCTTACTATTCCAAAGCACTTGATCCCAACTCTTTAATTTTCGGGGATCTGTTTTTATGCTCTGTTCACAAATTCATATTGTTGGTAGATTTTATGAGATCGATCACTGTTCATCATCTTCACCTTTTTCATTCAAAATATAAGATATGTTATCATCAGCCAAAGAAAAAATGTAAGAATCTGAATTAGCACCAGTAAGTCAGTCACTAAAATTGCACGTAAGTGAATGTCTAGTAATAACCAAAACATATAAATACGTTAAATGGTCATGTAACTATAAATGTTGGAAAAGTACCTGTGCATGTTATTTAAATCAATGGTCATCTATAACAGATTCATACTTTTCCTTTCTAAAAAAATTTAATCGTTGTAGAATTCTTCTAAACTGTTTAATTTAACCCATTTTATTACATGTTACAAGATGTTAACGAACAGTATTCAATCTCGAAAGTCCAATGAAACGATGTGTGCTCCTTGTCATGATTGGGGGAAAAACGGAAAAATCCGTAGACAGTTCAGTGTATAAATAACGGCCTAACAATAAGTATGTAAAACGTCAGTCAGCATTTGACTCAATGATAGGCTGTATGTGCTGACAAGGTCATTGTATCGACCGTAAAACTTGCAAAAGGATGACTTCAAACGAGACTGTTGATGTCCTTGTTTCATCAACTTGTTTGTCAATAGCTTGCCTCGTTTTAGAAATTGTTCATACGTAGAGCATGCTCTTGCGTATCGAATCAACTGAGAGACATAAACCCCATATTCTGGTGATAAGGGTATATTGCTACATAAGTAAGGGAAATAACGATTGAAAAATTTAGGTCATCACGTTTATCATAAAGCTTTATTGTTACATGTAGGATACCATTAACGTCTTTTTCTAGTAAATTATCTAAATATGAAACAGATGTTCAGACTCTGTGGTATCTTTTATTTCAAGCTCACTGGGATATATCGAGTCGACATATGAATGGAAGTATTAACTATTGTTAATTGATAATTCCTCGTCGATATATCGAAATGTCGAGTTGAAGACCACAACAAGTGTTTTCTTTTTCTCATGTAGAAGTTTTTGAATAAATTCTGGTTCATATGAATACAAAAATAGGTCTGCTAATAACGAAGCGCAACTGGTACCCATGGAAATTTCAACAGATTGTTGGAAGACCTGATCTCCAAAAACTACATAGATATTGTCAATCAGAAACCCAAGCATCTTTTTAATATCAACTTTAGAGTATTTGTGTGTACAATCAGAATGCTTTTTATCAAAATAATTTTGCAAAGACCAATGACAAGGTAAGTATATTTACGAGTTCCATTTTTATTGAAAAAGAGGCTGTTTATGATATCAAAAAGTCTGGATTTCAATTTATCGTGGGTAATGGTTGTATAAAGTGTTGAAAAATCTTGCGTTTTGATGTTATTGATTTTAGTAAAATTTTGTGATTTCAAATTTTCTTAAAGTTCCTTGGAGTTTTTAAGTATCCAAATCTGATTTACACCACTTCTCGAATATACTGTTGTACAGTACTCCTGAAGTTTCTCCTTCATTACAGTAAATATTTTAGTGAGGAGTAAAGAAAGAGGCCTGGTAGAACATTTACTGGAACCCGCTATGTATCTTTGTTTGTAAGGATTTTTATGAGGTTTAGGAACCCTGTAAAGGTATGGTAATTCAAATTCATTTTGATTGTTGGGAATATCAGAAATATCTAAAACGGACATGTGATTTTGCAGAATTTTCTCCTTAGAAAGGGAGCTATGGGTGTAAGTTGGATTTCCACCAGCAGAATTAAATCCTAGTTCCTCTAAAATACAATTCAAATAATGAGCCTTACAAACAAAGACTGTTGTTATTACCAGCTTTGTCAGCTGGGACCAGAACATACTGCTCGTGTAATATATCTAATTCCTTTTTCACTTCTGAATTATTAAGGACAGAAGGATAAATAGTTTTATACAGCCCTTTAATGGTTTAATGCAAGATTTCAACATCCATCTGATGCTCTTAATCCATTCTGGCAAAGTATCTAGGTCTTCATCCTTCCTTTTGTTCTGCAATCTTTATAAAATAGCTCTAAATCGTTTATACCTTCCCAAAACACACTTTTCAATGTTTAAGCCTTGTAAGGGATTGGATATCTTTAAAATACTTTTATCTATCCACATTTTAACTTTGAATACCAAAATAACCAAAACATAAAAAAGATTTCCATACATTTGCTGCATAAAAATTGCATAGCGCAGAACTACCAGATTTTTGGTTTTTGAATCACATGAGATTATCTTAAGTGTTTCTTAGTTATAATTTCTTAATTTTATTCTAATAAGAAGGTTACTTAATTCTGCAAAGAAGGGTAATTGTTTCACATTTTACCTGAAAAAAAAGTCCAAGGTATACACTTAAGAAATATAAATAGAATCTTAATTTCTCTAATCAATGCTATCCTTGATTTTAAACAACCAAGTAAATACATTTCCTAAAGCATGTCCTTGATTTATAATTAAACATATTTTGAAAAAAGTAAACAAAATTAAATTGAAGCTCAATTTTTTATTCAATAGAATCCTCAGCTAAATTGCACCAATTGTATTTCCTGGAGGGAACTTTGCACTGTTTTTATAATTTATGAGCTTTTAATTCTGACCTTGTTATGCTTCCACTACATCAGGTTTGTATTTGTAAATAAAAAGTAGATTGTCTTAAATGTACTTCAAATGTCATGAAAAAATCTATCACGTGGACATTTCAGAAGACTCCTGTAAATGTGGAAAATTTGACGCAGATGTAATTTTGACTATACTGACTACATGTATTTACTTATTTTCAAAAAAAAAATATATATATATAGCCCCCAAAAAGGAAATCTTTGAAAAGTATTCTATGCAGAAAGTTAATAAAAATACACTTATTTTACACAGTTTCGGAACCGTACATGTACTTATCAATGTAAAGGTCACCTGGCTATGGCTTGTCAATTAATCGTGCGAGGACAATTCTGAACTATCAATTCTGTTAGCTTTCATAAGAGATTTTTTTCGTAGTATTTTACTTGATTCTTTCATGTGAAGAATAGCAATTAAGTTTCTTACGTTTCGTAAACTCACCAGAGCCCCCTACTGCGTACAAGCGGCCGTGAAGTGTGGCCAGGGCCACACACCTCTTTGGAGTACTGAGTGGTGCCACCTCACGCCATGTATTCGACTGTGGATTGTAGCATTCCACAGAGGCCAGTGACTCTGATGCGTCTAACCGTCCACCTATCAAAAAGAAATATCAATTTAACCCTGTGATGCTTTGAACAAAGTGAGTTTTTGATAATTCAGTACCTACAAAAAAAACTTACAGAGAATATGAAGAATTTTAACACAAGTCAGATGTACTACAAAATCATTTGCAATAGTTATTGTCGGATAAACCAGGTTTTAAATCGAGAAATGAATCAAATGTGTATTTTACAGAGTAAGCACAACCGAAAATGTTCCAAATATCGAAGAAAAAATGAAAAACATTTCAACACAAGATCCACACACTAAAGGATTACTAGTAAAAATTTAAGTCGGATAATTTTTGTATTTTTAGGCCATAAATCGCTGTAATATGTAAATTCAAAGAAAAAATTGAAGGACTTAAAAAATACTAGTGTAATGAGGACATCTAGCCCTTCTAGCAAAGCAGTTAGTTTTCAATGCCAAATGTTAGCATTTTTTCTTCGGGACCACCGAAAAAAAGGATAACTTAAAAAGTGAAAACTATTCCAAAGAACTTCTTAAGTTTGGATGACTTATGAAAGCTGTTCTGGAGACAAAGCCAACTTTATCATAACCTCTAAAAAGAGAGATAGCATTTACATTAGAATTCCAATCACTGTCAATCATTTATGAAATAAATCATTTACGAAAAGTTTTGAGGTACTGTAAGATTTTACCTATAGAGTCAATAGGCCGCAGATCTGAAGATTGCTGGTTTGAAAAAAATGGAATGGGCGACAAGAGAGCTACAGAACCATCCATTGAAAAAAGTGTATATTTATTGCGCAAATTATTTCTCTGTATATCTAAGCTACCATCTCAACGTATTAAAAGTTGTGTGTTTCTAGCATATTCTTTTACTACCTCCACAACAAACCATTTCCCAAAACCTTTGTTAATAGTCCTCCTGGGCCAGTAATTGAGACATTTTTAACTACAGCTTTACGTAACTTTTTAATGGAATGTTACTCCGATGTTAAATTAACTAGAACTGTTCATTCCCATTAAGAGGAGTGTTACTCTTGTCTTACTTCAACTGTATATAGACCTCTAGAGGAATGGACCGTCACGGTAGCTCAGTCGGTAGAGCGCTTGCTCCGTGATCGAAAGGTCGTGTGTTCGAATCAAGGCCGCGACTGACCTAAGTCGATAAAAAATAGGTAGCAACTGTTCCTTCGCCAAGCGCTTGGCACTTTGAAGTGAAAGTCACGGTAGGCGTTGGCACGATAAAGAACCCTCACTGCTCAATGGCCTTGAGTGCCGAGTAAAGGTCTAAATTTGAAGCCCTTCACCGGTATATGGTGGATTCTCTGTACGAGTGAAAAATTCTCGAATGGAATGTAAAACAACATACAAACAATCAATCAGTCTAGAGGAATGGTACCCCTTAGTATGAAAACTGTCCCTAACTTTCTAAAGGAATGTTAATCCGGAGTTGTTTTTGTCTTGCTAAAGCTGTGCATAGCCTTCTAGAGGAAAGTTTCTCCGTACTGAAGTTCTTGTCCTACTAGGGCTGTATTTAGCCTTCTAAAAAATTGTTACTCTGGTGTTTCGTTTTCGTCTTACTAAAGCTGTGTATAATCTTCTAAAGGAATGTGCCCCATGTCAAGGATTACAACTCCCTTGGCCTTCTCTGGATTTCGAGAAAGATTAGACTCACTAGGGGCCTCCAGAGAAACCAGAAACCAAAACTTTCAAAAACCGGTCATATGTACTTAATTTTCCACCGAAATATGGCTGAAATATTGCGACTTGGCGTTAAGCAATAATCAATCAATCTAAAGGAATTCAGCTCCGAGGTAAAGTTTTCGTCTTCCTAGATCGGTATCCTAACGTCTTACTAAAGACGTACATAGCCTTCAAAAGGAATGTTACTAATAGTTAATTTTATCTTATTAAAGCTCTGTACATAACTTTCCATATAAATATCACTCCAGAGTGAAGTTCATGTCTTTTTAGCATCGATTAGAGCTGTACATAGCCTTCTGGAGGAATGTTATTCCGGAGTTTAGTTTTTGTCTTAAAGCCTTCTAGAGAAAAATTACTCCGTATCTTAAGATTTTGTCTTACTAGAGCTGATCTAATCTTCCAGAGGAATGTCCCCGAGTAGAGTTTTGTCTTACTAGAAGTGAACATACCCTTCTAAAGGAATGTTACTCCTAAGTTAAGTTTGTCTTATTAGAGCTCTACATAGCCTTCAAGAAGAATGTTACTCCGGAGTTCAGTTTTTGTCTTACTAAAGCTGTACAAAACCTTCTACAGGACTATTAGTAAAATTTATAAATGCTTTTTAATTAAATTATGAAATCCAACGCCTAATTCTCTCTCTCTCTCTCTCTCTCTCTCTCTCTCTCTCTCTCTCAGGATGAGGAAGGCAATTAAATTGTCTTAAGTACAACATATTAAAACTGATGTTCAACATATTGCTATGACGACTTTTTAGCCAATGTACAATTCAAAACTATACAAAGCCCAGGTGGAAAAATTGTTTTGAGTAAAAAAATCGAGAACTTTCAAATAAATGGCTCTTTTTTACATAGCAAAAGATTGACATTTGAGACTTTCAATATCAGCCGAGTTAGGACTTCGGGTTAAGATACATAAAAGATTTGGGGACATCGTGAACACCAAACCATATATGTTTATCCTGATCGAAATAGTAGGAGTGAGACAATATCTACTCACTGAAAACTCTCTATTTAACCTTGTCTACCTAAGTAGTAGGGAAGGTTATTGCCTGACGGGGATTGTTACGGTGATATCCTGCAATCCAATGTACCTTACACTCCGGAATTGAAACACCTAGATCTGCATTATTTTATTTCATTCATCAGACAAATTAAGAACCGTTTGTAATTATTTGATTCTGCATCCGTCTTTGTCGCCAAATACTAATAAGAGGAAATATCAATCAGAACTTTTTACGTATCTCTTTTAGGACAAAAAGATGAAAGGTACAAATTCTGGATTATATAGCACATGTTCTGGACATGGTTTACTTACATAAGGAAATCACAATGTTATCGATATAACGTATTTAATACAGCTTATTAAATCTCTGTGTTTATTCCTGCAAAAAATTGTAGAAGCTGCATTTATATATATATAGAGAGAGAGAGAGAGAGCACAGAAAAATTCACTTTATAAGGATACTCACTTCCGCCCCAACCCCTGGTTGAACTCTCCATCTACGGAGTCTATCTCCTAGCAGTACAGGAACAGCGCGCTAGACCGATCGGCCATCTACGCACGTCAAAGTTTTCGATGCCGATGGAATTCTAGCGGCGCTGCCCTACACTACAAGGTCATTGAGAATGGAAGTGAGATAGAGTTATTTGGACATTAGTTTTAATTGAGGATCGTTACCGATACACATTGCAATAAAAATAATGTTATTTTTAAAGCACGTTAAATTTACAGTAACTCTTAAACTAACATAACTGCCCTAAGTGAAGAAATATTAATATAGAAAGCACAGAGAAATTCCCTTCATAAGGATACTTTAATTTTAAAAAAAATATGACCTCTTATCAAGGTCTAGTTTTCAATACTAATTTACTGATACAGTTAGCAGCTACAAAATATCCAGTAAACAATTCTGTAAAAAGTTTTCAAAAGCACAATAAGAATTAGCCAAAGCAATTGAGTGAATATAGAGAAAAAAGAAAGTGTATGTTATGCTACCTTATTTTTCTGAAAAGATAACAAACGAGGACAATTTTTCTTTCCTTTTTTATTTTATTTTATTTATATATATATTTTTTTTTTGAGTCATCAATTTTTCTCAGTAAATTGTTGTTAACTCGAAATAACTTTTACTTAATGGACTTACTTGCACCCGAAGTCCAAGAGGTGGAAGTTCAAATTTGATCACGTGTTGATTAAGCATTACAGAAACACTTAGTGCATGTATTAGCATCTCTTTAAAAAAAACTTGTCTGACGTGAGCAAATTAATTTCTAGCCTAGAATTTAAAAAAAAGTAAAAACTCAGCGTTATCAACATAAATCTGAGACCAGACCCCGGGATCACGAAACGTCTTAAGCTTAAGTCAAAATCTTTGTGCTGTATCAAAATGTTGTAAATTAAAGTTAAGCAGACCAAAATTAAAATATTTTTCAATATTGCTTCAAAAAAGTGTTTTTATGTGCAAATTTAAAGCTTAATTCAATAATTGATAAACATTTTACAGGCAACTGAAAATTTGTCTTAAGTCTAAGTCTGTTTCATGATCCTGGGGCCAGGTCTTGAATTTTTTTGCTATATATTTCTTTTTAAAGTGTCACGTTTTAAGTCAACATTCTGCAAAGTCTATGGTCGATACAATGACTTTGTTTCAAAATACAGTCTGTCGTTAGGTCGAATGTTGAGCGACGTCTTTCAAACAAATTGTTATTCCATTATTTTCATACTGAATTGACTATGGATTTCTCCGTTTACTTGATCCTGACAGAAGGGACCGCTCAACAGGGGAAGCTTACTCCTCAATGTTACCCGAACCCTTATCTGATGTTGTCAGAGGATTGTGTTTGCTTTGTTCATAATTTGTATTTTTTTATGGAATTTTATCAATTATTTTTTTTATTACTGTTTATTATCTTGAAATTTCATGGATAATATCGATGCATTAAAATTTAAAAACAAAAAACTCACACACACTAAATCTTAAGATACATGTAAAAGGATTTAAAGAATTGGCTCATTATTAAAGTTTATTAAAAAATAATAAAAAAAACAATTATAATTTTTTAAAGTTCATCAAAAAAAAAAAAAAAAACAGAAAAAAAACATCATTTACGTTTTACTTCTGTAGTTCATTAACTCTGATTTACTTTACTCTGCTTAATAAATGAAGAGTTAAATTCAGAGAGTAATTACATTTCAATAGATATTCAACAAGATTTTGACCTTACCAGTTTTATTATTCCTACCTTGATTAGCTGTACATGAAATATATTACCATGATAAACGATGCATTCTAGAATGGGTTAAAGTTACGCAACCTGAAATGGTTAATATGATAGTAATGGTATCAAGATAAATTTGCTTTGTTCATAATTTGTATTCTTTTATGGAATTTTATCAATTATTTTTTTTATTACTGTTTATTATCTTGAAATTTCATGGATAATATCGATGCATTAAAATTTAAAAACAAAAAACTCACACACACTAAATCTTAAGATACATGTAAAAGGATTTAAAGAATTGGCTCATTATTCAAGTTTATTAAAAAATAATAAAAAAAAACAATTATAATTTTTTAAAGTTCATCAAAAAAAAAAAAAAAAAAAAAAAAAAAACAGAAAAAAAACATCATTTACGTTTTACTTCTGTAGTTCATTAACTCTGATTTACTTTACTCTGCTTAATAAATGAAGAGTTAAATTCAGAGAGCAATTAACTTTCAATAGATATTCAACAAGATTTTGACCTTACCAGTTTTATTATTCCTACCTTGATTAGCTGTACATGAAATATATTACCATGATAAACGATGCATTCTAGAATGGGTTAAAGTTACGCAACCTGAAATGGTTAATATGATAGTAATGGTATCAAGATAAATTTGTTTTTAAGTCCCATGTTCTGATCACGGTTGGACGTGAGCAACTTTCCGAGAAATCCTTTTATTCCAAGGACCTAGCTATTACACAAATACCTTTCAAAAACTTGTCCAACAAACCCTTGGCTAAATCAATTCAATTCAATTCGTTTATTGACCAATTAAGGGCCCTCATGGGGCAAAAAGAAAATACATTGTTAAATTGTATATAATGATTATGATCATACATACGAAATACAATATACATATACATAAGAGGGAAAGAATTGCTTGATTGATAGAAAAGACATACAAGTAGGGGAATACATAAGACTTGTTTTATAGGTATATATATAGTACATCATATATATATGCATTCATTACTAAACCATATACTTGAAAATATCATACTTTTACATAATTAATAATAATAATTAAAAAAAAAAACATGGTAATGTTTTTTGTAAAAATCTTCCAAAAGAGTTTAGTATATCTAGTTCTTCACAATTTAGAATCCAGAATAATTTTTGTTTATCAGGCAATTCTGTAAAATGTTATCTGTTAAAATCTTATACCGTGAATTCAAACAATGATTTGTAATCTACACAGTCCTTTATGAAATATTAATATTCCAGTCATTAAAGTAATGTTTTATCAAAATTATTTGGTAAAAGCAATTAAAATTGTTAGATAAGCTCTACGTGAATGAATAATGTTTGTACCAGCTATAGAAACAACACTTGCAATTTTCCTCATTTCCTATTGACAAAGAAGTTCCTAAACCGAGATAGTGAGTGAGATAAATCAACATTACCTACAGCATACATCATGTTGTTAAGAACGGCCAAACTAAAGCTCTGGCGATTGTGCTTCATGTTGGCTACTTTCAACCAGTCGCCATTTCTTGGATCATACCGGAAGACGCTGTTAACAGGTGCCATACTGTTGTTATATCTCTCTCCACCAGCAACGTACAAGAAGCCTCCAAACATAACACCTATGAGAGAAATTTAAAAAAATACGAGAATGGAACTTAAATTTATTGAGAGTTGTAATCCTAAATATAACTTGTAATTACATTTTAAAGGAAGTATACTTTATCTAGATCTGTACATTAAAAGTATAATAGTCTAGTTTCAATGCCCCCTAAGTCTGAAGATTGGGGGCATCTAGTGTTTTATTCTGTTTGTTCTGTCTGCAAAAACTTTCAACTTTTAAACCGTAGTAGGCATACTATTAAAGCTTGGTATTCAACTACATGTATTCATATACTGTGTTTGGCTTTTTTGTCTTAGATGACGCGCAGAAAACATTTGTGTTCACATGAATACGCATTGCATACGGCGTTTGCGTTTGGTAGATCACCGTTCCTTATACTTTGTGCTTATATTTTGAAAGTTTTAGCTAGAATTGGGATTGGGAAGGGGGTGCGAAAACACTGGACAATCACTGGGCGATCTCCAGAGAAATAATCTCTTTTTATATGAACGAACGAACCCATTGCTAACTATTTTTTTAAACTAAGCTATATCCTAGAGTCGTTAAATATAGCTCAAAAGGAAATTATGCAATTTAGATACAAAAAAGCAGATTTGTGGTTAAACTGTGTTTCTCAAATGACAAAGTTCATGTGTGCTTATCTTTTTCAATTTGTAAAATTGGTCCCTTTTTAGTTGCAGACTTAATTTTAAAGTTGCAATGTATAATTAATATTCGTTAATCAGTTTAGAGTTGTTACCTATATTTTAATATATTAATTGTGAAACCATATTTATCAAATAAATATATCAATTTATATATATATATATATATATATATATATATATATATATATATATATATATATATATATATATATATATATATATATATATATATATATATATCAAATATTTTTTGCGCCTCCAAGTAATTGTTTTCACTGTTAAGTATAATGTGGAATCGTTTTAATTCGTGGGGGATCAATGTTCGTGTGCAAGCAAAATTTGACTTGTTCAGGGGGACGTAATTTCGTGGGTTACTCGTTTATACGATAGATTCAATAAATCAATATGCTTACAACATATTCGTGGGTACGGGAGACTCATGAAATCCAAGGACATTAATTCCCCAAAAATATTGCGAAACATATGATATTTTCCACAGTAGTTTACATTTGTGAAACAAGATGGTAAGCATTACGCCTTGTAAACTATAATTTACAATAGAAATATGTAGAAATAGAAATATGTTTATTTAGTTCACTTTTGTGAATTTGTATGAGTAGGACACAACGTTATGGAATAGGTAAATGACCATTAACGGCAAAAGTATTAAATTAAAATTAATTAATTAAAACATCTATCTACATGTATCCACTATTATAAACAAAAAAACTTGGTTTGTCGAGGAACTTCTGTTCATATCAAAATTGGGATATGTTCGGTAGTATTTACGTTTAGTAAACATATCTATGAAAATATTTGGTTGATTTCAAGGAAAAGTGCATACCAATGGCAACACTTTAACTTGGATATCAACCAATCATTGGTCTTATAACCAATTTGAATTTATTTTTGATATTTATAGATTGTTTTCCCATTGAAGTTTGAAAAAATGTGTGAGTAAACAAAACAAAAACAAATACAGATATAAAAAATACAGAAGGAAGACGGAAATATGACAATTACTGTTATGATCAATGGATGATAAAGTTTCTATTTACAGAAAAACCTGGCACGTGACGTTGTATCAAACTGTGTTTCCGTGTATTTTTCATCAGAGAGAGATATTATTTTCCAGACGGACCAATACGCAAGCAGCAACAATAAATCTATTACATTTCTTTTCTTTTTCTAACTGCGATAATTCACCATTTGTTTAGTAACATAAATTCCAATATAATTACAAGGATACTTAGTTTCATGAATTAACGAGTTCTTCATAATCTAGTCACCCGATACACTTTAAGTTTGGCGCGGGGGTGGGCCTGTACCCAGGTAATTTTCACGTTATCTGGCTAATGACCAATTTTCTCATATTGATAAATCTATTTAATTGTTATGGAGCAATAACACTCGCACTTCGTTGCGATAAATCAAACAACTGAAACTGACACTTTCGCTTCACCCAGTTGCAGAGCTTACGGTCTAATGCAAAATGTACATAATTTTGGATAGCATTCTAAGCAATATACATGTAGATAAGTTTATCAAACACATCAAATTTACATGTAATAAATAATAAGCTAAAAATACAATGAAATATGGACATAACGAATAGTATTCAAGCTCAAAGTCCATATAAACAATACAAATCGGGGGAAGAGCAAAAACGGACCTCCAAATCATTTGAGGTGGGATCAGGTGCCATGGAGGCGTGAGTATACCCTGCCGACCGGTCACACCCGCCATGTGCTCCTTGTCATGATCAAGGAAAAAACCGTAGACAATTCAGTGTGTAAATAATGGCCTAACAATTTGTATGTAAAACGTCAGTCAGCATCTGGAGCGGGATTCATAAACACTCTTTGATTTTCTTAAAAATTGTACTTAAGTACAAAAAAAAAAATTCTTAGTTAAGAAAAAATTCTGAAGTCATATTCATATAAATTTTAAGTTTTTTTTTTTTAATTTAGATAAAGATGCAGTTTTGTGTATACAGGGTTATTTTCGCCCCGTATTATTTTCGCCCTTTTGCACTTGCTAACAAATTTACCCCTTTTTTAAAATTCGCCCAGTCACAGTTCTGTTTAAGAAATTATACTGTGTTCTTTGAATTCGCCCCGTTTAAATTCGCCCAACTGTGATTAGGACGAAAGCGGCGAAAATAAAACGAGGGCGAAAATTTCCCTGTATACAGTATTACAAAACTGCATCTTTATCTAAATTTAAAAAAAAATACAAAGCTAAGTCAGATTTTGGTGCAGTATTGGTACATGTATGTCTTATCTCAAATCAAAGTTTTATTGAAATCAGACGAGTAGCTTTTCGAAAAGAAATCAAATTTCTATTTTTAGTAACCATGGCAACAACTTCCGTAGAAATAAGAAAAAAATATACGAAGAACAACTAGAGTTGTCCACTTTTGTACTGAAATCGGACCGAAACTGTAGGAGGAGAAGCATTTTTGAAAGAGTTTCACAGAGGCTTGGTAGCCTGGCAGCATCATTGCAAAAACAAAAATCAATTACCAATACACAGAAATATGTACATGTATCTAAGAGTGTTCTGCGTGTGTACTAAGTTTATTAAAATGAATCCGAAATCATTTCTACTATTCATCCCAAGATGGAATATACTGGTATACGTTACAGTTTATGCAACATCCAAAATAAAATATCTATACTTAATGTTATAATCGATGCAAGGTTAGTCTTCGTAATACATACAACATATATCCACTTTGGAATTGGTCATTGTAAGACATAGGAGGCAGGCCCAGTTTTGAATACTAGTAAACAGTTTAGCTTGATAATGTGCATTATTCAAATGGTATTCTTGCAACTTTGTTTAACCACAGAAATGGTAGTGCTAGCACTTGGGAACAGATGTACATGTTCATGCACTGATATTATACACAGATGTGCAGTAAGGTTTTGACATTTTACTTTTGACCTCAAAGAATGCTCAGGGGTCTAAAAGGTGTGTTGCCAAAATGAAGTTTGTCACTGGAACTATTTTGAACATGCCCATTGCTCAGCAAGTAATTCTTAAAATTTTGATTTTTGAAGTATCAAAATGAAGATTAAAATTGAAATATTTTTGCGCAATGAATTTCATGTCATGCCTCTTAATATGATCCATGATATTTTTTATGAATAGCTTTTAAAATATAGAAGGAAAAGCAATGATAAGAGGAGTAACGGACAGAGAGAAGATCAGGAATAGCAACATATTTATACAATGACATTCCTGATTAGTTCGAATACATCTCAGGATAACATTGAATTGTACAAACCTCAGTTTGTGGGTAACAGCCCTTTATTTTTACAAATATTAACAACACTGTGGTCCTGCTGTTCTTGCAAGGAAGATATTTTTAAAAAAAGATTTCACGAATTATGCAAATATCAAATTTCTAATAATTTGATATTGTAAACTTTTTATAATGTTCAAAATTCTGTCTTTTGGCCATCACCTTAAATTCTATGCAACATTTTATCATTTTATATGACATTGTTGAGAAACTTTGAATTAAAAAAATATGCGGCTACCCGGCCTTACTCGTTTTACTTAAATGTATATAAACATAGTTAGATTTATTTATAATTTTATTTATTTATTTATTTTTTGAAAGAAAGTTTGTGGCATTAGTCCTTAAGTTCTCTTAGTTGAAATAAAAATTACACTTCCAAAAAATAAAATATCTTCCCTTTCGGAAAAGCTTAATATGATATAGATATTCCGTATGACAATTGCATGTCAGATATCATGTTTATACAACGTTACTATTATGTTGGTGGTCAACAAAACGATATGACGTTTTATTCATTATATATTTATTTACTGTATTTAATATTTACACTGGGTTCGTCTTTTGAAATCGATGCCGAGGAAACAAAATATTTTTCTAACTTTGCAATTTCGCCAAAGTTGTCTAAAAGATGTGTTGTACTAAATTGAAACATCTTCAAATTGCTTGTTTTAACATGAAGAATATACCATCTTTGTTATTAATTGTGCTATCAAACACAGAGCTTCGCATTCTATTTCAAAATACAAGTATATCTTAATGAATTTCATCTTTTCATTATGTCTTAATTAAGGTCTTCCGTCTCAACGGAAGACCTTATAGTGATTCTATTGTTTCTTATTATTATTATTAAGGTCTTCCGTCTTCACGGAAGACCTTATAGTGATTCTACTGTTTCTTATTATTATTATTATTATTATTATTATTATTTTTTTTTTTTTGACTTTCTAATTTTGTGCACGCGATTTCTCAGAGACTATTGAGTGGATTGGGATGAAATTTGCAGGGAAAATGTGTCGTAGGCTGAAGTTATTTTATCCGGGA